AAGACCCATTCCTCCAAGGGCGCTGATTTGATCTTTAAAGGTCCCAGGATCCTTTTACACTCTACATTGGCATTCTCATAAGCCAAAGATTCAATTATTATACATCTGGCTTCTGGGTCTGGCTTCTGGTTATTCTTATTTGTACAGCATTAGTTAGTCTTTGTAAAAAGTTACTAAAGGGTTCTCTCTGACCCTGTTTAACCTTGATAGATGATTCCACTCTCTGTCCTGGGTCCTGAACCCTATCCCAAGCCTTTAAAGCTGCTGTGGCACATATGGATAAGAGGTGGTCATCATAAAGAGCTTGTTCCTGAGGATCAGAGTAAAGTCCGTCACCTAGAATTTGATCTAGGGAAATCTCAGTTACTTTTGCACTTTCTTGTTGTTATAAAAGTCTGGCCTCTTCTTTGAAAAGGCACCTAAAGTGCAATTGAGGGCTGCTTTATAGTACAGCTGATGTTAATTGAGCCCAATCGTGAGATGTGGCCTTGTTACCGAGAGCCCAGATTTTGAGCATCTCTCTAACAAAGGACGAATGTAGTCCATAATTCACAATCGCTTGCTCAGTTTCTTTCAGATCACTCATACGTACTGGCTCCCATGTATGTTCCTTAATGATCTTAGGGTTTTTGGAGCTGGTTACCTTTTCTGATGTTATTATTGGAAAGTCAATTAGACTCTGGGGAAACCATCCCAGAGAGTTTTACTTACTGGCGGAGTTAAATTTTGCCTTTCTACCTTTTGCTCCTGTTCATCAGAGTTTATAATTTCCTCAGTCTTTTCAAATCTTTTTACCATTGTCTTCTGTAAGGTCTGAATCTCTTGTCCAGTATTATGCTCCAAAGCCTTCACTGAGGATTCTAAGGTATGAAGTTTGTCCATTAGAGATAATATCTCATCCTTGGACATAATCCTTATGGCATGTACTGTGCCTTCTTGTATGGAAATTCTGTCAATTAATCTATCATACCCCTTTGATAAAGTTCGATTAATACATTCAGTGGTTTTAATCCTCTCAGATAATGTTTCAGCACTTACAGTCATGGACTGCATTTTATGAGCCAAATCAGCTGTTTCTTCCTCCAGAGCAGCGAAGCTCTCTTTCAATGAATTAATATTAGACTGTACCTTCTCAAAATTTTGCTCAGTTGATCGAGTCATTTTAGACAAAGATCTAGTCTCTTCCTTGAGAACTCCAAACTCTTTCTTGAGGAGGTTGGTGTCAGTCTGAATTGTTATTGAAATTACCTCGACCGACTGAAACTGATCATCCAAGGTGGTCATGCTCTTCCTTAAGTTTTCAACCTTTTTCCTAAGATTCCTGGATTCAGTCTGTAAAGACTGCATCATAAAGAAGCTACCAAAAACAAACAAACAAAAAAATAGTGAGCACCAGAAATAGCCAAGCAAGAGGAATATCATAAGCATCTTGTAAAATCTCAGCCATAGTGTAATTAAAAAGGCTGTGAAAGCCTTTAACGGTTATATTGTCCTACATTTTCAATCAAAAGAAATCTAACTTTATTTTTTTTTCAACAGAAAGAAATCTTACCTGTAATGACCGTTGCCTGCCAACAGGTGGCGGGGTGCACCTGAATCCATGTAGACCAGTCAGAACCAGAAGAAAATTCTGAAATATGTATACTCAAATCCAGAGGTTAAATACACAGACTGTGTGCTGTGTGGGTTACTTAACTACAGCCAAGTGGGCAATTGCCAGGAAGCAGTGGCACTGGGTGTGCCGGGTCAATAAGCTGTCATGCTGGGGGCGCTAGCTCCTTGGCCGGGAAGATAGCAGTGCAGAGCAAATCTGATCTCCAGCAGGAGGCTCCCCAACCTGGCTCCGGCTAAGGCTGCTACTGAGCAGAGCTGGGAGCTGGGAGCTGGGAGCTGGCGCCAAGTACGACAGGCTCAGTCTCCAGCGGGGAGCACTGAGGAAGGGCAAATGGCACTGGACTTTGGATTCCTGAGTTCGGTGCATGGGGTGCGTAGTGGCTGGCTGCACTTAGCAGCTGCGTCTGTGCCCAAATGAATGCAGCTGGCCCCCACTAGTTGGAGCCTTAAAGGGCTCTAAAAAACCTCAGGTCCAGGCATCAAAATGATGGGTGTGGTCGATCGATAAGTTAGAATTAACCAGACCAGTTTAATACAAAAAGATTTAATAATTGGGGAAAAGGGACATTTGCACAACCAAGGATCCAACGAACACCAGGAGCGCAGAGGGAACAAAGAGAGAGAGAGGCAAGCGAACCTGGATGTGTTATCCTTTTTTTTCTGCCTCAGGGGGCCACACCCTAAACAGAATATGATTGGCTGAGCTTCCCCATCAAGTTACCTCTGACTTCAGTACTTTGCAAACAAGTTCAGGGATGTACCTGTTGTCAGTTGTTTAGAATGTGTTGCAGCTCTTTTTGAGCTAAAGAAAATGAATACCCCTAAAATGGAGCACTTTTGATGTAGAAAGGTCATCTGTCTATGTTTTACTTTCACTGGTTAATAAAGAAACTGCCTTGGCTTATTGATAAGACAACAGCTTAGATAGGCAGAATAGACAGAACAAAATTCTTGGAGAAAGAATGCAGAGTATGGCAGATGCCGTGATTCCCCTTCCTGAGACGGATGCTGGCTAGTCTCATGCCAGTAAGCTACAACCTCATTGTGGCATACAGATTATTAGATATGGATTGGTCAAGATGTGAGAGTTAGCCAATAAGAGGCTAGAACTAATGGGCTAGACAATGTTTAATTGAATACAGTTTCCATGTAATTATTTCGGGTAAAGCTAGCTGGGAGACGGAAAATGGCCCACCGCTTATTTTGCAACACATTTTTACCAAGAGGAGAATGGATTTGTTTTTAGTTAATCAGGACTATACTGCAGATATGAAAACCACAGAAAGGTGACAAGGAGTCTCACAAATAAAAGGAATCCTGACTTTTACATGGACAATTCTTTTAAGAAAATAAAAAAAAATGTATTGTATAAGCACCATAAATAGTGAAATCTGCTTAAATTAAAAAAATAGGTGAAGCTTTGTTTGGACATTATTTCCTTGTAAGAGCATTGAATACCCTTTGTAAACTACTACCATATTTACAATTTCATTTTCTTGACATTTAGGTAGGATTGAAAGCCAGAGGAAAACATGAAAGAATGAACTTTGAAATAGTCTGTACTGCTAAGGTGTTATCACTGAGGGTAATCAGATTTGGGTAAAGCAGTTTCTAGAATCCCAGGCTAATCTGGGTAGTAAGTTCATTTGGTGAAACACCAGGGATGTGCCTATTCAATCCAGCTTCTCTTCTGGCCTGGCAGCTTTCTCCAGAAAACCAGCAAGGCTAATCAAACCCCAATCAGTCTCAAAAGAAAAACCAAGCAAGAGTACTGGGGTTATCACAATCTAGTCTTACCACAAAAAAACAAACAAACAAACAATAACAACAACAAAAAAAAAAACTATAAAGTGTGTGTGGATGTGAGCTGGCCATCTCATCTTCAAATATGGGCAACATAACTAGAATTTGAATTACAAATAACCTGACATGACTTACTTTCAATAAAAGATAATCTATTAATTTATGAATATGTCTTTTTAATGCAGCATGTTGGATCTGCTAGATACAGCAATGAAATATTGACAAGTGTGCATTATTACCTTACCTGATAAATCTTGAAAACAAGCAAATCCGAGACTTTTCCTAAAGCACACCCATCTATACAAACTTAAATCCCTACTTAAAAATTGGTTTAGAAATTTCATTCCTCCACCTACTGTTTTTGAGGAGCAGATTGTAAAAACATCAATTTAACTTGTGCTAGGTGGTAGTGGTTTGTTTTTTTTTAACCAAAGATAGCCCTGCCAAACTTGTTGATTTTTCTGCTTCATCTATTCAAGTGAAATACTGGATCAACCTGCTGTGGCTGTCACTGTAGGAAATCAATTCATGCTTATATCACGGTCCTCATGAAAATGTTCCATTCTCCAGAACAGTGTTCTTACCCTCTATCTCTTCCTGCCTAAATCCAAGTTAAAATCCACGATTTCCATTGAGTTTTAGTACAATTTGATTCTACATGGTGCTTTCTTTCCATGTCACAGTAGCTATCACAAATACATTAAATGTAGATATGTTCTGCTCTTGACACCCACACACTTACAATAGAAGCTTCACACTTTGTTTGGTGTGTTTGTTTTACTATGGCAGCTCACAAAAAGCAGTTCTCATTTCTAAGCATGGTACTTTACAATTTTGTGTGCATTAATACAACAGTGCATTGGAAAAGTACTGAGCCTCTACAAAATAGCTTTACCTTTTTAAACAAACTAATGTGATTGTTTTCACTCACACAAGCATGGACTTTTTAATATTTCCATAAGATAAATATCTCAATGAAACTCTAAGTTCACTCTATTGTGTGCCACAGTCATGGGCTTAAGACAGTTAATACACTTAGAAGATCCTACCTGTTTAGTGTTATTTACACTGGTATGTCCATCATCCCCTAATCTGGAAGGTGAACAAACTATATTCAGAATGTGACTGAATTTACGTCAATAACTGGGAATGGTATAGTTTTAATTAATCATTTACTAAACACATAATGGAACTTAGTCTTGAGTGGGAATTTTCTTCATGCCCCTCTTATGGCCTGGGAAACTTAATAATAAGAGATCAACATGATAAAGGAGCCCCTGCTAAGGCAGACCTTATGGTAACGAAGGGAAAATGACAAGTGTACATGGGTAAATTATCAGCAATAGGTTAGCAATTACCTGGTACTGAAGTCAAATACTGAAGGCCGAAAACGTCGCGTCTGAAATATTCTTTTTATTCTGAAAGAGAAACTAGAGAAAAGACACAATTCACTCAGAAAGCAATGACTCGATTCAGGTTGTGACTTTATATTTAAGCACCGCTCAAAAACATGGACACAAAGCAAGCAATTTCCCTTTGCCCGTCACTAGTTCAGCTATACAGCTTTGAGAGTTCTGTTCTCATTACACAACCCTTTCTCTGTTCCCAGAAGATAAGACGTCCCTGGGACAAATGGGACAGGTGGTATTCTCTGATAACCAGCGGTTGATGCAGTGGGCGTGGTACTCATGGGAGCAAGGTAACTTACGAAGTTTGTTGCCTTCCATATATTCCGTAATGCAAATACTACATGTCTTCAGTGCGTCATTTTCACCAAAACTTCTCATTGCTAAGTTAGCAGTCTGTTCTTTGGTGAGTCCTCTAGTTTGGTGGTTGTCATTAAAGGGGTAAAGTAGAATATCTTCATTACCATCTTCAAACATCTCTGAGCGACTTTGTGAACTTTCACCATTGGAACTGGAGCGGGGGTTGGAGCTGGAGCCAGAAGCAGAGCTGTTCCCACCAGAGCGCCCTCTTCCACTCCGTGGAAGCTCACCAAAACCTGTCGTTCTCTGCCTTGATGGGGTTTGAAAAGGAACAGATGCAGTTGCGCTTGATCCAGTATTGAAGATTGTAAGAATGGAAAACCTGTTATTACTCACATAGGTTCTCCCACTTGCACGTTCAGAAAGTGTAAAGGTGCGTATAAAATCTTCACGTCTACTTTCATAAAAAGCCATGTTGTTTGGGGTCTGAAACCTTGACCGATTTCTGCTAGCTATGCTATCTCTCTGCCGGTATTCTCCCAGCAGAACTCTTCGGACTTGGTTGTTTCTGTCTATGGCTGGAGGTCTTAGACTAGATCCTGTCGCTTCACCATTGGTACCCGTGTCTGAAGAACTTGTCCCTTGAGCGGCAGAATTTTTTGACCCAGAAGCCGCCAAAAGACCTCTACCTAGCAACTCAGGTCCAGTTATCTGCTGTCTCAAAGTCCCATGGCAAGGGGTTCTAGAACTTCCCTCGATCTCATTTACCAAAGGGTACACAAAAGTCTGAGATGAGGCACTACGATGAGATCTTCGTGGAATTTCATTTGCTTGGTGCAGAGGAGACCTACTTCTTTCAGCTCTAGCTCTGGATCTTCTCCCGTGTTCTGGTTTCCGGCTTCTTGCCCTGCTCCAACCTCTGGTGGGTGGCACTTCTGTTAATGCTTCAGCAGAACTGCGTTCTGACCTAGGTGGTCTGGCAGATGATGTCTCAGATGCTGAATTTTCCATTTGCCTTTGGCTGCTGTTGTCCATGTTTTCTACACTAAGACGTGTAGCAGACGGTTCATTTTCATTCTCTGGAGTTTGTCTTCCATTATTATGGTTCACATTTGTCTCTAAACTGAATCTGAAATCACCACTGTTTGAATTACTGTGGCCCACTGCCCTCCAGGACTGATTTCTTCTCTGGCAACTTCTTGTTGTATTGCCAGTCTGTCTGACAGAGTTAGGACAATCTATTATGGAGTCACCATTGGACACGTCATCTGAAGAGTCTCTACGTCTATTTTCATCTGAGCTCTGCAGCGGCGGCAGCCCCTCTTTGATTTGCTCTAGTCTTCTGAACAGCTCCTCCTCAGTACTTTGACCTGGGGTGCCTAGCAAATTGTTGTCTCTCATAAGTCGATAGTCTTCTTCGCTCAGATTATTTACAAATCGATAGAAAGCTTCTTCCTGATCCAATCGATTAATTTGCATTCTGTGCTGTGCTGGAGATTGGTCACTTTATCGCTAGAATCTGAGTTTTCCATCTTGATGAATAAGTGGAGGATTATCTGTCTGTTATGACATAGAACTGAAATCCAATAAACCGGACTTTCAGTTTTCTTCACTAGGCTTCGGTGGTCCGGCCAGGAGGGACTGCTGGGCTCTGCGGCCTCAGCTGCTGCCTTGGCCACCTGAGCTCTGCCACATGGCTGCCTCCTGCTCTCTAGTCTGCCTCTGAATGCCTGGGAGAGACCTGCCTCTAGCCTAGCAGGGCCCACCCATTCTGACATGTAGCTCAAGCAGCCATTATCTTCCATTGTTACCTAGCAGTGACAGAAATCGACTCAAGGTAAATTTTCTTAAAGTCACCCCAAAGTACCTATTGAATGTATTTCAGGTCCCCTTTATCAGCTACTCTACATGACTCAAGAAGTCCTACTTAGAAAGCAGATGATTCAGCCAAAGCGTACCAGGTGAGCCTGGAGAAGAGCGACTGGTAGTCCTACTTATAGGACAAACCCACTCTTCTTGTAAGGCTGGCATCACGCTGGGGAATTTAGTGAGATAGTGACTGTTTCCTGATAGGCTGGCACCACACAGGATATTCATTGTGCCATTTCCCAATGACAGTGGCTAGGTGCCATCGTGAGAAGGAACCAAGGGGTTGACCTTCACTACTCTGGTGTCATGAGATCAAGGATTAAGTCAGGGAGCCTGACAACACCCGGCTACAGCCCTCGAGTGGGAGATAGCTCTAGGGACTATTACAGAGAATGGGAAAGCAGATATGGGCATGCTAATCCATTCAGGTTGGCATGTGATTAGGGTGGTAAGGGGAAGGGTGGTTTCTAGCCCAGCCCTCCATATAAGGACTTGTTAGTGTCACCTGAGGTCAGGAGGAAGTTTGACCTCTAGAGGTACCTGCTGGCCATGCATTTCACTACCAGCAGGACGGAAAATGGAAACTAGGACCCATTGGAGCACTTGATTTCCACAGCCCCCTTCCTCCCATAGAGTGTTAGCTGAGGGGTGATTTATGAAAACACAGAGACTGAGCCTCCTGCTCTGATCTCAGTCCTCTGCTTGCTCCCCTTCCCCACTCTTCAAAGTGCTCAGGGACCTCTCATCAACTTGGTAAGTAGGCAGAACCTGGAACATAAACTTTAAAGAAGGTGGAACATGTGAGTACCTGCTTAGCCATAAGGCTTGGAAAAGCAAAGTGTGTGTAGTAGATGCTGTTGCTATACAAAGAAGAGACGCTCCCAAAGAAGATGGTCATGTTGAAGGCCTGACCCTTGGCTAGTCCAGGATCAGCAGTGACATAAATGGTAGACAAGGAAAGAGAACTCTATTTAAACACACCACTCTTTGCTCCTAGCAGACTACAGTGCTGGGCGACCCAGAAAAAAATCACACACAAATGTGATTTAAAAAATTGTTGACTCGAGGAAATGGTATGATGTGTTCAGTTTTCCTATGCCAGACTTAGTCCATCACTTCTGATTTCAGGACCCTTCAGCTCCTCAGGATATAGAAAGAATGCAGCCAGATTCTCTGAAAGGATATAAGACAAATGGCGTCTAACCTAGTTCCCAGTAGTTTCCTTGTTCCCGCTTGGAACCTCATGAGCACAGACTTCACAGTCTACTTTTCTATTGGCATTTTGTTCTTCCCATGTCCCACCCATTAAGCTTTACGTACAGTGTTTGAGGACTTCTCTAGCCTGCAACTCAGAACTCTTCTATATTCCTCCCGTGTCCTAAGTCTAAAGGCCTATGGCCTGCAAGGTCACATTAATGATTCCTACCTTGGTACCAAGGTTCTGGATTTATTTCTTTTCTCTTTGTCCTAACAAATACCAGACCAAAGAATCTTCAGAAGACAAGGGCAAATTTTGAATCAGGCTTTGGAGTGGATACAGCCCATCATATTGGGATAGCATGGTAGTGACAGTGGCTCCAGCTCTTGTGGCAGGCTGTTGAGACAGCTCTTTACACTGTGCCAGTGGTGGCAAGGCAGAGAGTGATGATGCTCTGCTCAGTTTGCTTTTTTCTTTTATCCTCTTTGCTCAGTCTGGGAGCCCAGCCCATTGACCAGTGAAGCCCATATGTCTAGGGTGTATTTCCTTAGAGTTGTCTCTCTAGAAATGTCCTACTCGACAGCTCAAATCCAGTTATGGTGACAATAAAGATCAACCACAGAAACATAATGAAGACCATGTACAACAACCTTGTCACCAGCATTATACTAAATGGGAGGAAATGGAAAGCATTTCATTTCAAATAAGAAGGTGAAAAGTCCACTTTCTTCACTCTTATCCAGTGCAGTGCTGAAATCTTAGTCAAAGCAATAAGACAAGAGACAGAAGCCAAAAGAAAACAGAAGTAGTCAAATTACCGCTCAGATACTGTACTTGAAAGATCCAAAGGAGTCTTAGATCTCATAAGCATTTTCGGCAGAGTAGCAGAATACCAAATGAACATACAGAATTAGATTTTTCTCTATATAAATACTGAGCTTACTGAGAGAGATATAAAACAATTCCTTTTGCAATTGAAAAAATAAAAACAGCTAGGGGACTTGACTAGAGAGATGGCCCACTAATAAGAGACCATGCTATTCTTCCAGAGAACTAGAGTTTGGGCAGCTCACAAATTCCCCAACTCCAACTCCCTGAGATTCAGTGCTATCTTCTGGGCATTGAGGAGACTCGCTTACACACAGCTATACACAAACACATAATTATACATAGTTAGACAAACAAAATAAGTCAAAAAATTAACTGCCTCGAAATAAACCTAACTTTTAAGCTAAAAGTTTGTTAAAGGCACCTGCAAGTATAATGCATGGTGGTACATGCATTTAATCCCAACACTCAGGAGACTGAGGCAGGCATATCTCTGTGAGTTCAAGGCCAGCCTCCTCTACAGAGCAAGCTCCAGGACAGGCTCCAAAGCTACACAGAAAAACCCTGTCTTGAAAAATCAAAAAGAAGACAAGTGCAATTAAAACTTTATTATATTTTCCACTTCTTTCTTTGTGTGTTTGTACACATTCATTTGACACTGTGGGTGTGTGGAGGTCCAAGGACAACTTCCACCAAGTAGCTCCCAGGAACTGAATGGAGCTTTTCAGACTTAGTAGCATATGGCATTATATGCTAAGCCATCTCTCTAGCCTTACAAGTAAAAATGTAAAAGAAGAATTAACAATTGTTGTAGGAGGGGAAGAAGGGAGGGTGAGTGGAAGAGTGGGAGGAGAGGGAAGGAAGTGGAAATTTTGAAAGGTATTATTTATAAAGCAATAAAAAACAAACAAACAAAAAATAAAAATATAAAACATCAGGCCTGGAGAGATGGCTTGGCATTTAAGAGCACTGGCTGCTCTTCCTGAGAGAGGGTCTGGCTTCAATTCCCAGCACCCACATGACAGCTCACAACTGTCCAGTTCCAGAGGATCTAACACCTTCACATCAAAGCACATAAAATAAATTTTAATAAAGAATAAAAGATTTAAAACATCAAAAACAATTTGAAGAATGACTTTCTGATAAGAATTTGAAAAATTAATATTGTGAAAATGGTGATGTTACCAAAAGCAAATGACAGATTCAGTGCAATACCTATAGAAATTAAAATACTATTCTTCACAGAATTGCTAAAGAACTTCCAAAATTCACACAGAGACACAAAGCCTCACATGTGACCAAAGCTATCATAAGCATGGCAATGCCTGATTTTGTTACACTATAGAACCATAGGAACAAAAACAGCATGCTACCAGCACCAAAACAGAGACAAAGACAAAGGAATAGAAAAGAGACTCAGAGCAAATGCACACAGGTGCAGGTTTGTGTGTGTGTGTGTCTGAGACAGGATCCCTTGCAGCTCAGGATGGTCTTGCCTTGAACTATTGATCCTCCTGCCACTATCTCCAAAGACCTGGAATTGCCGAAGGTCGTTTGACCTAATTTTTGACAAAGGTGCCTAAAGTTCACACAACAGATAGCACCACTTTTTCAACAAATGGTGCTGAGAAAACTGTTCTCCTGAAGAAGAATTAATCTAAGTCACTATCTTTCACCTTGTACAGAAGTCAATTAGGTCTGCCACAATGACCTCAATGGAAGGCTTTCAAATTTGAAACTTCTGGCCTGAAATGGGAAGAACACATCACGATAGAGGCAAGATGTGGAAAGGCCTTTCTGACAAGAGATTCAGGGGTTCAGGAGGCAGAACTGACAGATTGGGTTTTATAAAACTGTAGAGCTGCACAGCAAAGGGAACAGGCAGCAGAGCGGAGAGGCCGCATACAGAAGGAAGGAATTTCTTGCTAGCTCTATACCTGACATTGAATTAATATACTCAAATATCAATATCCAAATCATACAGTCAATACATTGACCAATGAACTAAACAAATGATTCTTAGAAGAAGAAATGCAAATATGGCCGATAAAGGTAGAGAAAATGTTCAACATCCTTAGACAGCGGCAGATCTGCAAGGTAAAACTACATTCAGATTTCATCTCACTCCAGTCGAAATGGCCACCAAAAACAAAGCAGTGACTTCACATGCTGGCAAGAATGTGAGAAAATGAAACCTGGTGGAGATGTCAATGAATCCAGCCACTATGGAAAATAACAGTGCAGGTTCCTCAAAGCACTGGCAATGGAACTGTCACATGATGTAGCTGCAGGACTGCTGGGAAAAGGTGCAAAGGAATCTGAGCCAGCCTGTTACAGAGACATGAGGCAGCCCCTGTTCCTTTTGTGGCACTATTCACAATGGCAAAGTTATTGCATCATCCTAGGTGTCCATCAATACATTAATGGATAAAGGAAATTTGACCTCTCTCTCTCTCTCTCTCTCTCTCTCTCTCTCTCTCTCTCTCTCTC